ACATTGTGAAGCTGAGACTTTTGATAAATTTAAATCTGAAGATGTTTGTATCTCAAGAAAAACCTGGTTTTTAGTCAGAAATATCTTCTTAGTGATTTATTACTTTTTGAGTATACATATGTATTTGGTTATTTGGAATTTGGTTATTCTGATTTTGTCTTTATGTAAATTAGCTGGAAATGCCAGTACAATTGGTCGAGGCTCAGGGGGTGAGTGAAAATTAAGAGTTTTATTTTTCATTTTATTTCAATAGTTCATTATTTTACAGTTTAGTTTTTTTCTCTCTGCTGTTCAGTTTTGTTTTTGATTTTCAATGTTATGTTTGATATAGAAGCATTTTTGTGTTAGTATAACTATAAGAGTAAGCTTATAGAATTTGATTGCTAGATAGTTGTTGAAAAAGTGATTTTCAGATAAACCCTGGTTAAGTTACTTGCCATCCATAATCTAACGATGTTATTCTGTAGATCGTGTTCAATGCTCAATTATTTTAAACCAACTGAAATCACTGTTTGAAACCGAGGTGCATAAGTACACACTCGGATCATGGATGGTGAGTGAAGTAACCCATTGAGAAAACCAAATACAAATTAATTAGGTCTTCATTCATCAGATTGCTCTTGTCAGAATTGTTACAATTTGGACTGAATGATTATTATGTGGGATTGCAATTCATATTGTACAGGTTTAAGATCAATCGTTTTTTAGTCTCAGAAACTGGATTTTTTTTAGCTAATCAGTAATAGTGTTGACAGCTCACTGTCGAAATTTGAGCCTTCAAATCGAAGTGTGTACAGAATTATTAGCGTATGAAAGTTAAAATGATTTCACATCTTTCCTTGAGAAAGTATATTGGAAGAAATTATGTGCTTTTCGTCCAGTTCTAGTAGCTCTGAAGACTATTTACATATCTCTATAAATAAGACAAGATTTGAACAACATTTAGAAGTGGAGAGTAGATATAACAAAAAACACAAGGGGTATGGTATAACTCACTTCTTTAATAACAAAGCACATAACGTTTCAACACAATTTTCACTTGACATCTGATGAAAATTGTGTTGAATCGTTATGTGCTTTGTTATTAAAGAAGTGAGTTATACCATACCCCTTGTGTTTTTTGTTAAATATAAATAAGACTATTAAATTAGCTTTAGTAGTGATTTAGATTTTTTTTCCCTTTTTTAATCACAATGGCACTTTTATTACATTTCACTTTTAACTATTTTGTGCACCATTTTTTTCTCTTTTTAACAGTAAGACTTATTTCACTAGTGAATGGTATGGTATATGATCTCTTTTTTGATAAATTTTTTGTTGTTTGTCTTTTTTGTTGTATTGAAAAACTGGACGATCATAAGATACAAAAGGTTATCCAGCTGTCCAATTCTCTCTCTCCAACTGTCAAAACTGTAGCTTTATGGAGGCATATATGACTCGCATTCAAATTGACGACCAAACTTTAGATTTAGGTAGTTTATAACTGCATCTAGACCTTTGCCTCATTTTTATGTGGACGTATATTGTCGGCACCCGGTCCGTCCGTAGATTTTTTGATGGAATCAAATGAAATTCGGTATGTGTATACCTATTCATAAAATGAAGATCAAGTTCGAATTTGAGCTATTTTTGACTGTTAGAAGCAGAGTTATTGCCCTTGCCCCAAAATCTTGAATATTTACCATCCATATGCCGTGGTGGGCGTATATGGCTGTGGTCCACTATCTTTACATGTATTGCTATACAGTTATGGCATAGTGTCATAGGTCACGTCCTTTCTGTTTGGCTTAACTTGACATAAATATTGCTTTGGCTTAAAGAATAAGTCTTCTGACCCTTGATGAAATTTAAAAAAAAAATCAAACTTTATAATACTTTTATTGTAAGATTTTTGAGAAATTGGACCCAGAAGTGCAGTTTTTGTAAGATATGTCTCTTTCCTTTGGTTTGCCATCAGATATCTGAAGTTAAAACAAAGATTTCAGCTGTTATTCTTGACATAAATAGAAATGATATTTTAAAAGTATAGCTTGCATGTAGATAGTGTTTTATGTACAGGATATATTTGTATGGTTTGATAGATGCCTACCTTAGTTAACATGGTAATTCATAGAATATGGAAATTGCTTCTCTAAATATTGAAAGTATTGATCATGTATAGCATGCTAGTCATTATTTCCTAAATTGAATTATTCCCTTCCATTCATGGTTGTATGCTTATTACAGATGAATTTATTTCATGATTTGGAATATCTATGATAAAATGACATGTCTGTGCTATTTTGATGTTGAAGCAAAAAATGTTACTTTCCAAATAACTTTAAATGCACTTTGTTAATGTATAGTGTTCAAGAATAATTAAAAAAAAAAATTGAAATGGTCATCAAAAGTGAAAAAATTATTTTGATTACAGCTTCAATAGCAGCAGATACTGGTAAAACTGCTGGTAAAACTAAAGATAAAAAGAAGAAAACAGTGACACAAGATCAGGAGGTAGGGTAAATCATTTAAGTCTTGTTGGTAGGCATACTCAGTGTGGTTTGAAGATGTTGATTGTCAATAATGGGCAGTTTTAGACACCTCTGACTTTGTCATTAGAATCCTTCTTACCTACAGTAACAATGAATTCGAATGAATTTGCTTATGAATTAGCTATTCCACTGTTTAATGTCACTATTCATTCTCTTGATAAAGACCTATATTAGCATTTGAAAGACTATATTTATTTATTGTTATATGCCCATATCTCTCTATGTGGACGTATATTTTCGGTCCATAAACATTTGCTTGTAAACGCTCTAAAAACTAGATTGTATGATGGAATCAAATGAAATTCGGTATGTTTATACATATTCATAAAACAAAGATCAAGTTCGAATTTGAGCTATTTTCGACCGTTAAAAGCAGAGTTATTGCCCTCGCCAAAATCTTGAATATTTACCATCCACATGCTGTAGTGGGCGTATATGGCTGTGGTCCACTATCTTTTTTTCATTTTATTGCCATTTACAACTTCTTGTACTGGATTCTTTTTTTGAATGAAAGTAAAAAATAATTGTTCTATTGTACAGCCAACTGAAGTTTCTGAAACAATTAATGCATTATTAGAAAGTGCTGATTATATAGAAGGTAACTTATGGATGGCTGGAAATAGAGTTCTTATCAATTTGAATTTATCAAGTAAGTTCTTATTTTCATTCACCATGAATCCTAAAGGAGCAAAACAAAATTTGTTGCTTATGTGTGATTCAGAAACTTTCAATATGCCAGTGCTATAAATAGCTTTCACAGATAACAAAGAGTATTTTACATTGCATGATGAACCTGGTTTTTATTTGGGGGTGGATTCTCGGAAGCACTG